GCCCCACGGGACAATGGAAATCTGTTCCCAATACGGGCGGCCTAAACTTGCTTGTACACCCTGAAGCCAGAGTGGCAACGGGTTCCCTAGAAGTATCGATCCAAACAAACTTCCCAAAAGCTCGACCTTCAAATCTCCAAACCTGAAATTAAAAACTGTACGTTTTCGGTACCGGCTCTGAACCAGATGTGCGCGGCGCTGAACGCGGTCGACGTGAGCAGCTTTCAAATACTACTTGAGCTAAAATCTGTTTTCTTTAAATCAGACGACCTGTTGCCCATCCGCGCTAAGCGCGAAGCGTGGTTCCCAAGTTGGGGTAGGTTCAACAAGAGGTTGACCGGCACGGCAACAGAAGCAGATCTTGACATTGTAATTGACCGGGTCAACAACATTAGCCATGCAGTAACCGAAATTTCAGACCGCCAGACAGAATTTGAAAATATCACTACAACTAATTTCGTACAACTTCATTCACTTGCGGGAAAAATTGACAGAAATCTTGTTGACCTGGCTGCTCACGTGAACAAATTCGGCGCGGCACTTGCAGGGCACATCAATGAGGGCGAGGTGGTTGCAAATAGGTTGGTAATGCAAGCCGCGCTCTCCACTAAAATAAATTTGTTACTCACTCATCTGGCAACGCTACGCTCTCTGCATTCGGCTTGCCATGACAGGAAATTATCCCATATTGCTATCTCTGTCGATCAATTACGACAGGTCATCAAAACAGAGAGTGAAGCTTTGGCACGCCGCGGAGCAAGGTTTGTCTTCGATGTTAGTGAAATAGAATATATTTATAGTTTTCCCTCTACCTCCTGCTCTGTTTCTAAAGACTTCTCCACTATGACTCTTGTCGTCCTCCTACCTGTTGCTCCCATTGCCTCCTCGTGGCGTGTCGTTGAGTTCGAGCCGCTTGACTTCCTGCACCAAGGACTCACGTGCCGAGTCCTGGAGGACTCTGTGCGTCTGGCCATCAGCGCGGACGGGACGCCGCTGCCCCTACACGACGACCCGGAGGGCACCGTGCCGGTCTACTACCTGCGCCGGCACGCCAGCCCCGAACACCTGTCACCGTGCTTGCGCGCCCTTCCCAAAGGACGACACCATGGAGGCGCTGACGGAGGCATGCGTGCTTCACTGCGAGGACAGGCGAACGACGACGACTCAGCACATCCGCGGCAACACCTACGCGATCCTGAACCCCACGGTCGAGGTGCAGCTGATTTGCAACAACAAAGTACACCAACGCCTGCACCAGCTTCAGGACGGGCGCCACCAGGTCGACATGCCGTGCAACTGCTTGGCGCAGACGTCATCGACACCGCCGGAGACTATCATCGAGTTGGGCACCATCTGCACCTCGACGGCGGCGGTGCGGGTGTCCAGGATCTGGGCCGAGTCGAACTTCACTGCCCAGGCGGCAATCGGGGGAGGCATCTCGTACACCAACTACTCGACGGAGAACCTCCCACCCGTACATGTTATCACACCGCGGCCGCCAGTGACAGGGCACTTCTGGGCGGACCTGCCCCTATCAGGCATGTCCCACGCCGAGTTCGGGCTCTGGTCCGCCCTTTCGCTGATCATCGCCGGCATCGGCGTCTTCGCCGCTGTCGCAGCGTGCTGCCCTACAACCACCATGACATCCGGGCTCGGCATCGTATCCACTCTGCTCGCGTCGTGCTGCCGCAATCCGGCAACTCCAAGACGGCTAGCCAAGCCTGCTGCCGCGCCCCAGCCCTCAAACGACGCGGACCAGCAGGAGAGGGATCGGGGAGCTCTCGGGAGAGTTCTCGGGAGAGGGAGAAACTCGCGCGGCACCAAAGAACAAGGCGGTGACTGTTTGGCGCCAGTTAGGACGACGACGACGACGAGAGAAGCTAGAGAAGACGAGTTTGAGCTGTATCAGCACAAAATAAGGTTGGATCTGTACCAGCACAAAATATTTTAAGGTAAGAGGAACTTTAATCCTCCCCTATATTTATTTTATGTGAACGGTTCAATGAATCTTCAAGTCCGTGGACCTAGGCTTGCAAAGGACTGTTTATCGACAAGTTTTACTTAATTTACGGAAAAAAATGAATGATTCAGACATTATTGAGCTGATATTATTTATCTTTAGTCTAAAAGTTAGGGCTCTTTTTGTAAATTGTTTCGAAGGAGTGTCAGATAGGTTATGTAATGGTTCTCAAAAGAGACCTTTTTTCCAAGCTTATGTGACGGGTTTGTTTACATGTTTTGCTGATGAGCTAGGGCCTTTGTTTGGGCTATATTTTACATTATGGCCATGGTGTACCATTTCTTGGCAACATTCTTCATGGAACACCGTGACGATAATGTAAAAATTTGCCCAGACAAATGCGCTGGCTTGTCGGCAAAATATGTATATAAAGCTTGGAAACAAGGTCTATTTGTGTGGTAACATGGTTCTTTGAATCTCCTTATGTTTTCTTAGTCTCATCCCTCTTATTTTGTTTCTCTAGATTAGTCATGGAAGAACATGATGCGGAAAGGAGGAGGCAGATTAATGGGCTCATATTGCGGCGAAGGAGGATTAGAGATTTTGGCGACCCCTTTGACGTCACTCATGAGGCCTTTGTAGGTTCGTATAGACTCAGTCAAGATCTTGTACGCAGTTTATTGGATCTCATTCGACCACATGTTCGTCAAACCACTAGTCCACTTGCGGTGTCGCTAGAGATCAAGGTAAGGTCTTTGATTTGGTTGTTGTGTTCAACACAACAATAAGATAATACTTTCACTGTCACATTTAAGTTTTCAGGTCCTATGCGTGCTTCAATTTTTTGCCACGGGATGCTACCAGAAGCCCACTGGTAAAAGCATGGACGCTGCTGTGGCTCAGTCAACAGTGTCTGGATACCTCTCTGAAATCACGACTGCGTTGAATAATCCACTGGTGGTGGCCAGGATAATTCAATTTCCCCGTAATCTGCAGCAAATGCGAGCTTGTGTTGCTAGGTATGTTCTATTTATATGTGCTTTTGAATATGAACCCATTAGTGCCATTTAATGCAAGTTGTGTGTGTTGTTCCAGGAATCGGCATTTGGGTGGCAGACTCCCCAATGTCGTTAGTTACACGGATGGAACTTTGATCAAAATAATGAAACCCACTTTGGACGACAATATTTTGGCATATATTGGGCGGAAATCATATGCAAGTCTGAATGTGTTAGTGGTAGGTGTATTAACTGCAATGTTCTATTTCTCATCAAGTTTTGAGCCTTGGATTCATCTATCTAAAATATTTTCTTACAGACCTGTGATAAAAGGCTGTATATCACAAATATCATTGCTCGTTTCCCAGGTGCGACCAATGACTCATTCATTTTTGCCAATAGTGCACTAAAAAGAAAAATGATTGAGTTTAATGAGGACGAGCCCTGCTTTCTTTTAGGTATTACAACTTCTACATTATGAATCACTTTGCATTGAAATTACACAACTAGTAATTTCTTGTGTTCCCAGGTGATTCAGGGTTTGCCCAAGAACCCTGGATGCTGACCCCTTTTGATGGAGATGACGAGCCCCAACCAGACACACCGGAAATGAGATACAACAAAGACTTCTGTCAAGAACGCTGCACTGTAGAAAGGTGCATTGGTGTAATGAAAGAGAGATATCGGTATGTGCTTATTTTTCCCTTTTCCAAATCATACTTAAATAGTCAATTTGTTCAACAAAACATTCTTGTATTCAGGGCAATTAATGATGAGCGGGTCCTACATTATCGTCCTCACAAGGCGTGCCAAATCATAGTTGCCATCGCAGTTTTGCACAATTTGTGTATCTTGGCCCAGGTGCCATACTACAGAGAGAATGAAGACATGGCAAGGAATCTCAACTTCAACGATTGGCGTGAAGATGCTGAAGACATAGGACCAAATGAGGACTATGGAAATGAAGACCATATTTTGATTGCAGGATTGAATGTACGGCGGCAGGTTGTTGATTACTTGGAAGAAACAAGGAACTAGGTTCTGTTGTGACAAACAATTATCTATGTCCTGAATAGAATCTGATTATCTGTACAAATTCCTAGTTTTACTGTTAGGATGATATGAATTTTATACTTAAATAGCACTGAATGATAGCGAATTCTGAATGGTTTATCTAATTTAACATACAAACATGAATTTATTGATTGGCAAATTTTCATACTTGTTCACATTTTGTTACTGTGATGTGGTCAATAGCAAACACATTGGGTATGTATGAATTGTAATAATTTCATTGCAAAGTTGCTATCCATGCATATAGGGTCTGTCTCCTTTTTTTTGTTATTTGTTAGTTTTGTGGCACTATTCTATATTTTCTGACCAGTACAGTATCTGATTATCTGTACATATTCGCCTTGTCCCTAGTTTCATTGAAATGATATATGAATTTTATATTGAAGTTGCACTAAACGATTGTGAACTCTATATAGTTTATCTAATTTAACATGCAGGCATGAATTTAGTGAAGCAAATTTTTATACTTGTTGAGACATGAATTTTATACTGAAGATGCAGAAAATGATTGTGAATTCTTAATAGTTATCTAATCCAACATGCAAACATGAATTTATCGATAATAAAATATTCATATACTTGTGACAATGTGTTTAGGGCATTTTATTAATAGCCTACCCCTCAAGGACACAAGTCCTCATTCATAAAATAAACTTTCAACATTGACTGCTCGGTCTTTTGAGAGTCAGAATCTGTTCCAGGCTATGCTTGTTGAGCATGGGGTGTGTCAAGCTCAGAATTCAGCACCACAGCGAGCCGTGTGTTCTGCTTTATTGTGTGAAATGGTGGTGCTGCAAATAAAAATACTTTCTGAATTTGTTCTATAAACTTTAATGAAACAAACACTGAAACAATGAAACATGCAGTCTTTTAAAAATCCAAGGTTAAAACATTGGTAACTTTGGTTACTCTAGGATACAGTACATGAATGTCACAACTGATACTTAAATTGCCTACAAAATCAGAGAACATTTTAAATACTGCAAAATGTAAAACAATATTGGTACATAACAGCAATAAATATTGTTTGACTATGCATGGTGCCTTAAATTACCTACAAAATTAGAGAACATTTTAAATACTGCAAAATATAAAACAATATTGGTACATAACAGCAATAAATATTGTTTGACTATGCTTGGTGCCTTAAATTACCTACAAAATTAGAGAACATTTTAAATACTGCAAAATATAAAACAATATTGGTACATAACAGCAATAAATATTGCTTGAGTATGCTTGGTGCCTTGCTTACTTAGCAAAGAACGTACATGACTGAGAGTCCTTGCAAACTGGGACACCATTTGTAGGGATATCACAACCTAGACTATGAAGTGAGTCATTGCACTTATTACATTGGCTAAGGTACTTACAAAATAAATGACATATAATCGAGTCATTGTGATGAAGTTCCCTGACAGGTACAAAAGTTTTATGAATACTAAGATACATTGAACAGCACTAACACAAGAAGGCCAAAAATAGGGCGGATCGCATAGGCTTTCATGCCTTGGTTACTAAGCAAATAAATCACATAACTGAGAGTAATTGCAATCACAAAGTTGGCCTAAAACCTGTTCTAAGATTATCACAACCGACACTTAAGGTACATAAGTGAGTCATTGCAATTACTTAAATGGGCTTACTTACAAACTAGACAACATGTAATTTCGTCACTGAAACCGCAAAGATCCCTGACAAATGCATAAACCATGCAGTCTTCTAAATATCCAATATTCAACGTTGGTCGCACTTAAATACAGTACATGAATATCACTACAATGACATGCTACAATATATTGAACAACATGTGAACAAGGAAAAATTGAAAGGTTCCTTAATCTAGGTAATTTAAACTTGTCTTATGATCACAGGAGAATCACAACAAATCAGAACTAATTTTTATTATTAAAATTTAACTCACTTAGAGGAGACCTAAGAACAATATACTGAAGACCATCCTTGATCGGTGTTGACGTAGCCACAGGAGGAGACTTCAACTTCTTGCCGTTCAGGCTTGATGACCAAGGCAGGCCAGAAATCAAAACAGGGGGTGATTGGGCCAGTTGCACCGTATTAGAGCTCCTCACAGGTGGAGCAGTTGGAACACTTGTCTTGGCAGGCTGCCCAGCAGAAGTATGAGGTAGGACAGTGATTAACTTCACTGTTGAAGCAGATGCAGGTGTACGACTGGATGGTTGAACCTGTTGCACAGTGACAGCCCTCTTCAAAGATGTAGAAGCCGGACCAGCTGTCTTAACAGTCTGCTGCCCTGCAGATGTACTTGGTTGGGCAGCGATAAGTTTACTTGTCGGCAGAGAGGCTGATGTACTTGGTTGGACAGCGATAAGTTTACTTGTCGGCAGAGAGGCTGATGTACTTGGTTGGACAGCGATAAGTTTACTTGTCGGCAGAGAGGCTGATGTACTTGGTTGGACAGCGATAAGTTTACTTGTCGGCAGAGAGGCTGATGTACTTGGTTGGCCAGTACTCTTCAAACACATAGCAGCACTCTGCCCGGCAGAAATATTTGGTTGGAGAGTGATAAGTTTCCTTGATGGCTGCAAGATGGACAGGCTGCGCTGTTGCTGGAAATTTACAGTGGTGGGTGGTTTAGCCGGTTGCACCACAGTACTTTTCACAGCTGCAGCAGCCACGCCAGTTTTCTTGACAGTCTGCTGCCCAGCAGATGTACTTGGTTGGACAGCAATAAGTTTACTTGTCGGCAGAGAGGCTGATGTGCCACTGGATGCTGGTACTTGAGCCTGAGATGGCTCCAAGACAGGCAAGCTGCGCTGATATTGCTGGACAGTGGGTGGTTTAACCAGTGGCACAGTGCTCTTCATAGCTGTAGTCTTAAAAGACGAAGCTGCCAAATCACTCGTTCTGACCGGCCCAGCAAAAGTATTCGGTTGGAGCGAGATGAACTTGCCACTGGATGCTGGTACTTGAGATGGCTGCATGACAGACAAACTATGCTGATACTGCTGAAAGGGTGCAGTGGATGGTTGGACACTGCTCGAAGCTGGAAAAGTTGTCTTGACAGTCTCAGTCTGCCCAGCAGAAGGACTAGATTGGACAACTGACCAGAAGTCAGATGTTGCAGAGCCTAAGTCCGTGAAAGTGCTGGGTGACTGTAACAAATACACAAAACTCTGAGAATAGTTGTAAAAGAGGAACATAGGAATATTTGATTCCATTGTTGAAACTTACAGCATCCTCATCCAGGACCCAATTCATGTCAACAGTTGGTTCATGGGGTTCTTGGGGCTCGACCCAATTCATGTCAACAGTTGGTTCATGGGGTTCTTGGGGCTCTTCAACTTGAACATCAGTCCTCATCCGTTTGAATAGCTGTGGAGGCTGAGGAGGTTGAGGACGCTGAAGAGGCTGAGGAGGTTGAGGACGCTGAAGAGGCTGAGGAGGTTGAGGACGCTGAAGAGGCTGAGGACGCTGAGGTGGCTGAGCCTGGTCCAACTGTTCCTGAGCCTGAGCCAACCGTTGCTGAGCCTCAGCAAACTGTCGCTGAGCAAGAGCCAGCCTGTGAGCAGGTGGATTGAAGCGTTGGTTTGTTGGTTGGGGTTGCGCAAACCTTGGACGCGGATCAAATTGCATTGGATCAACCTGAATAAGATTATAACAATGAACATGAATTAATGAAAATAAATGAATAATGAAATAAATGAATGAATGACGAATGATACATGAATAGAGGCTTGAGTTCACTACCTCAAGGGGGTCCACAATGTCTGCGAATCCAGAAATGCGCACCCAACCACCCATGCACGTAAGTACTCTCAGTTCATAGCTCGTGAGGTGCACGTCGAGTGCTGGGCCTCCGCCGGTACCCCGACCAAGGGCCCGATAAACCTGGGCAGCACGGGCTTTTACAGTTTTTTTCTGGTCAGTCCAATACTGTAAAAAATTAAACAAGAAATTAATAAATAATATTGGGGAATGCATGTAACATTCGAATAAAGCCAAGAAAGCTCACCCTCATCCATTGATCAGTGGATTTATTTGCACCATCTTCCACTTCATTAAGCATGTTTGCCAGCCTTTCCCAAGTTTGGCGGATTAGAACAGCCCCCTGAGGGGATGCAAACTCTCTTTGGCAAAATGCTGGGTGTCGTTCCATGTAGGAGACGAGGAACCTCTTTTGCTCAGCGGTAGCTCGTTGAGCCATCTATAAAAAAAAATTGAAACGTCTCATAGTACAGTTTAAAGTAACAACCGACACAACACAAAATAAATAATCGGAATTACAGAGGCTGAAAGACCAATAGACCTTTTCCCCAAGCTTGGTTTACGTATTTTGCCGATGAGCCAGCGCATTAGTGTGGGCTATATTTTACATTTTGACCATGGTGTTCCATGAAGAATGTTGATAGAAATTGAACACCGTGGCCAAAGTGTAAAATATTGCCCAAACAAATGCGCTGACTCGTTGGCAAAATACGTGAGCAAACCAGTCACATAGGCTTGGAAGAAAGTCTATTACATAACCTAGCTAGCAATACTACAAGCCAAATTAGGTAAGGAGCCGTAGCTTTAAGAACAGTGCTAAGATAAACAAGTAAAATGAGGTCTGGATTATTCATAATTCCCGTTGATAGACTTTTCCAAGTTGCAATCTTAGACCGCCTAATCTAGAAACGCCTACTCTATGATTACATCTCACCCTAATCCATCACAAATAACTAGTCGGCTCACGGAACCGTTTACACGAAGAAAATAAATATTAGGGAAGATTAAAATTCCGCTTACCTTTAAGTATTTTAAGCTGATGTAGCTCCGACTCCGACTCTTCAACTCTTCTTCTCTCTCAAGTCCACTCGCGCGCGTCACCCAAGACCGCCAAAACCGCTCAAAACCGCCAAAACAGTCACCGCCTTGTTCTTTGGTGCCGCGCGAGTTTCTCCCTCTCCCGAGAACTCTCCCGAGAGCTCCCCGATCCCTCTCCTGCTCAAAACAACCACCGTATTTAGAATCAGCACGGTCTGTTTACCACATGAACGAGTTTCGGTGGCAAAAAAGCGAGGGGGGTGAGTGTGCGAGTGGAAGTTGTGTGTGAAATCGGTGGGTTGTAACAATTGGTGTAATTTCCGTATGCCCCTCTCGCTCCTCTTCTATCGGGTTTTGAAAGACATCCTACACGTGAAAAGATGTGTCTCGACGTCGACTTAGTGTGCCAAACTTATGGCATATTTCTGTGGCGATAGGCATTTGCAGTGAGCCAGAAACACCGGTTTGTAATTTCCGTCAAGCGTAATTTCCGTCATATTTTCAGTAAATTCCGTCATACTTATAGGGTTTCAGGTTTCAGGTTATGGGTTCAAACTAACAGCCTCGAGGTGGCTTCACGTCCGTAACTTGGACGGGTTGGAGGGAGAAAACGAAAGTCAACTTTTAGCTCGCCCACGCTCAGAGTGTCTTCCTGGAGTTTAATTGATGCCATCTAGGCCAAATTCGGCCGAACAAGCAAGTTTGATTACTTGACTTTCTAAGGTGGCTAAAACGGCCCCTACGCACGGAATCACCCGGTCCCGGCTGGAGGTTTAAGTTCCGGCCCGCGGGTTGGGGTTGTTGTCCCGCGAGCATCGGGTGGTGCTCTGCGGCCTGTTGATTGAGTCGCCGCTGGCGCTGAGCATGCTGCCTCTTCTTCTCCAGACACCAATGGCAGAGGCCATTTACCAGCGGCATCTGGGTGGGGCACCCGCAGTGGTCACAATAATCCGGTGGGATTACCTTGGGCTGGTCCTGGGGGTGGGGTGGCATGGGGCCCACTGCCCAAGGTAGTCCTGCTCATCCTGCTCCGCGGCGTCGGCCCAGTTGACCACTTCAATCTCGTACAAGGGCTCACCGTCGGTGTCGGACTCGTCCGTAGTGCCAGGGCCAGCTGTAGGTCGCTGTCCGACTGAGGTGCCACCGCGGGCGTCGGGGGCTCCGCGTGGTCCGTGTCCATTGAGGGGCTGCAGTAGAGACCCTCCCGTCAGAGATGCGCAAGCAAGCGCTTGGTAGTCCCGTGGAGTCAAAGGCACCCTGAGTCAGGCTAGCGGGCGACCGCCGTATACCTGCTGTGCCGCACCAGATGCTGACCTGCGTAGCCTCGCGCGGGGCGAATTCGGGCTTCCCGCTCCGCACGGGACTACCAGTCGTCTGTGATTGGCTGAGAGGGCCCCCCTTTGCGCATCTCTGACGGGAGGGTCTCTAGGCTGCAGAGGTGGCCGCGGGCATCCTCACAGGTGTAAATGGATCAGGATTTTCTGATCAGTTACCCATTTTTCTGATCAGTACTGGTGAAAGGCTTTTGTCGTTACAAGATGGTTCACTTTGGGTAGTGCGGAGGTTAAGCGTACCAACCTTGCAAATTGTGATAGAGCTTTGCTATTTGGCACGAGTGTTTTTAGGACCAATATCTTGTTTTTTCACCCGTGGGGGCATGTCTGATTCCGATGCAGAGCCCCGGAATGGGTCAAAATCGGCGTTTTAGCCGTTTTCTCTGCAATTTTGTTCGGTGTAAAACTCCTGAACGCCTCCAAATTTGGGCTATGCATGAAGTGCTTATTCTGAACTTAGTGGTGACCCTACGGATGCAACATGAACCCGGCGGAACCGTCAATCGTCCATATACAGGGTCAAACAGCAATTTTATCGGAAGTTGCACCACACGTTTTTGCGTCTTGCCGTCCCACAGTTCGTGCTGTGGAATGGGACGATCCTATTGTCGGATTCTGATTGAAATTGTTGGCCAACCGAGTGCAGGTTACTTACAAAGTGAAGAACCGCATTTAAGAGGGGTGAAAACATTCACCCCGACGATTCATTTGCAGATTCGAAGTTCCAAACGCCCCCTGCGTCGTAAAAGCATCGAGAGCTGGTATGTTGCTCATTACGTGCCACGATCAGCGTTTGTATTCGTAATGAAGGGGTGCAAAACCCGAAAGATAACATTAAGTTACGCAAGACGTCTTTTATACCGCCGGGTGCCTTCACTCTTAATGTCTTGGGAAAGGGAAATTTTCCTTTATACGAAGAAAACAGCGGGGGCATACTACGAAGGTGGTTTTTCTAAGAACCTTACAATGAAAATGCTAAACAGATGCGTATAAACACTTCCACCGAGTCAAGAAGAAGAATAACCAAAGCCGCACATAGTCCTTACAAGTCGCTTGTTTGTTAATCTTATATGTTCATTAGGGTTCTTAAAATGGAAAAACTTCAACCTGGATGAGTTTTGTCACTGACATTTTTTTCAGTGAAAACCTCAAAACATTCAAATGAGATTTTTTTGGGGGAACTGTTTCCGGTGATTTATATGACCATTGTCCTTCACTTGGCGTTCTAGTGGAAGTGTCTATAACAAAGAAACATTGATTCGTATAGGGTACATTCGTAGAATCCTGACCCGGAAGCAAGCAGACCAGCAGACGCCAAAATGGGCCGGAAACTAACCTCTCTTCGGATCCAAAACTATAGCCGAACTTTTAAAATATTGCTCGCGAAACACAATGCACTGCAAACAAGTATCAAACAACTGTTTATGTTCAAGTGTGGCCGATACGTTCGACGAACGTTCATTCCTATGTCAAGTTTGGATCTACTTCCGCCAACATGGCGTCTGTGTGCTTCCGGTTCAGGGATCTACGAAAGTACCCTATTGTAAGGGGCCCCCTTTTCTCATGAAGTAAAAAATAGCTTCAACTTCATCCTGAGACATCTAGAGTGTTGGGAATAGACCCTTTGAAAATCGCGGAGTGAAAGCATTTAACAAAGCTATTTAAATTTTATTAAGTGAATAAGAATTCTAGACGTTTACAATACGCACTTTTGTAGTTTTTGTGATTCAAAAATGATTTTTTTAAATTTCTATTAACTATTTGTCAGGGGGTTTTATAAAAATCATTGACAAGGGAAAAAAATATATTGCAGTGCAGTTTTTTTAATTACTTTTTTTTAATAGTTAAACATATTTTTTGTAAAATCTTGTTGTTAAAGTTCCGGAGTGTGCTGGTCAAACTCGGAAGATTATAAATGATTTTTTTTTTCTTTGTTTTGGGAAACGTAACTTTACTGGAACGTGGTAAACGGTCAGATATTGGTGATTTCATGTACAACAGTTTAATTTGGCAAAATCTCATGATTTTTGGATTTAAAAACTGGCTGTCAATAGTTGACGTAACTTTGTGCGTGAAAATAGTGATGACTCCACTGCTGTTAGAAGACTAACTGAAATGATACAAATTTCTGCTGTAAAAGAAAGTGCATATCAAAATTCTTTATATCGATTCTAATGAAATATAATTTCATACAACTACATTGGTTACTTACGTGTTGTAGACGCACTCCTGACAGCCGTAGTCTACGCTCCCAGGCGCCCTACTCGGCCTTATAATGAAAGGTGAATTCTCATCACGGGATCCTGAAAAACTACCGCTTGAAGCTAAAACTGAAAAAAAAAAAAAAGGGGAAATTAGAACAGTTGCAAGTATAATGGAAACACTCCTTACGGGCTAGTCTGACACCCCTCAGGGCATACACTGATACACGGCATCTCAGGTTGTGTGCAACAATAATCTTTCACAGTACAGAACGTATGGACCGTCCAGGCAGGGACAACAGCTTCAAAACGTCAAAAAATAAACAAAGAAAACACCCAAAATCGATAAAAGTGGCATGTTGAGACGTTTGGGGTCGGGAACGGTCCCGACGGAGCTCTCATGCATCTTAAAGTTCCCCACCGAGTTCGGAAAGTCGAAAGGAACCATCGTACAGATATAGGGTCGTCAAGCGTTTCAATTGGAGGCTTGACTGCAAAGAACGTTAAAAAAACAGCAAAATGAAGCAAAGAAAGCCCTATTCTGACCTCCTGCATCGGTTCCCGACATGCCCCCACGACTAAAATAAAAGATATTGGTCCTAAAAACACTCGTGCCAAACCGCATAGCTCTATCCCCAATTTGCAAGGTTGCTGCGAAACATGGCGCTTAACCTCCGTACTAGAAGGCGTACTCTTGGAACACCTAGGTCACCCAACCCATCGATAACGTGAATTAGTCTGTTCTTTTTGAAAATAAGGCTTCTATTTCATTTATATTCATAACTTCCATATTTTTACGGAGAAAATCCATAATTCAAAAAAACGGAGATCTCCGAAAAAAAAAAATGGACAGTCTCCGTTAAATTTCCGTTTTTTTACGGAGTTTTCTGACAGTGCAGAGAGGAGGCACAGTCGTAAAAACGACTGCCCACGCTGAGGCCCTTTATGGGAGGAAGCCGGACAAGCGAGGAAGGTGTTTGGCGCGCCTTGCTTTAGCCGGGGGTTTTTGGGGGGA